GGGGAAGAAGAGTCAGTTTCGCAGAAATTGACGGCGACTGACTCGAGAGCTTCGTCGCATAAAACATGTATGGTGGATGTACTAGGCGAAGCAGATGAAAATGCTACGCACAACGCTGCCAACGCAAGGAATTCTTTGATTCCTTGAAGAGGGTATGTGGACCGTGGTTGGAGCCACTGAGGATGCTGATCAATGGTAGTTCAGGCGCTACTGTACACAGACCGCAGACATAATGCACGTCTGGCAAATACACTTTGGCTGTCTTGAACAACCATTTAGTGCTCTACTGGCCTACATTAAACGGCATAAAGCAGTACGATGTGAAGGCGAGTCTTGCAGACACGCCGATACTGGATGAGACGCAGAGAGTGTTTTCTCAGCTGAGAAACGTGTGTGCTGTTGCAGACAGGATCCCGCCGGAAGTATTAAAACACGGTTTACCCGCATTGGTGACTGCGCTGCACCACTTGGTGCAACGCGTATAGATTGAGGAGGAGGTGCCTCCTGAGATAAAGAAGGCCCTTGTGCCACCACTGTACAAGGGCAAAGGTAGCAAGCAATGTTGCACGAATTATCGTGGCATCAACTTGCTGAGTTGTGTGGGCAAGGTGATTGCCCGAATCCTGCTCAACCGCCTCGTCAGTCAGGTTGTGGAACCTAACGTGGCGGAAGAGCAGTGTGGATTCCGTTCGGGTCGCAGCACTATAGATATGGTGTTTGCGGCTCGTCAGTTGCAGGAGAAGTGCAGAGAACGACACCAGCCATTGTACTCGCTTTTTGTTGATTTCACCAAGGCATTTGATACGGTGAACCGCGAGGCATTGTGGTTGGTGTTGGGTAAGTTTGGTTGCCCGCGTAAGTTTGTAAGTTTAATTGAATGTCTGCACAGTGGTATGCGAGCGAGGGTGCAGCTGAGTGGACAGACCTCGGATGACTTTGCAGTTGTCTCTGGTGTGAAGCAAGGCTGTGTCTTAGCTCACGCCCTGGGTAACATATATCTTCCTGCAATGATATGCTTCTGATGTCGCTTATGCATACGGTGTTCGTGTGGAGCACCGTACTGATTGTGAGTTGCTGTGCATCCGTCGTTTCCGTGCAAGAACCTTAGTCTGTGAGACAACTATCCGTATGTTGATGTTTGCTGACGACTGTGCGTTGTTTGCACACAGCGCGGGTGGGTAGCAGCATATGACTAGTGCTCGGGCTTCGACAGCGGTCAAAATCGGGCTTACCATCAACGCAATCAAAACTATCTGTCTCTTTCAGCCTTCAATATTGCCGCAAATCAGCATTGGTGCTAAAGTATTGGAAACCACCTCCCGGTTCTGCTACCATGGGAGTGGGATTCGATCGAGCAGCAGCTATACAGTGAGCTGCGTATCCGCATCTCGAAGGCAGAGGCAGCATTCGGGAAGCCAGAGGATGGAGTGCGGAACAACCACCAGCTAACCACTGGCACGAAACTGATGGTGTACAAATCCATGGTGCTGTCCTTTCTTCTATACAGCAGTGAAACGTGGACGATATACCGGCGGGATGCGCGATATCTCGAGCGTTTCCTTCAACAGTGTTTGCGACGGATTATGTGCATCGGATGAGGCGACAGAGTTGTAGACCCGGAAGTGTTGCCTCGAAGTGGAATTTATGCAGTGGACTGCATACGCTTGCTGATACACATGAGGTGGCTCAGTCGTGTGAGGCGTAGGTACTCGACGGGGATACGGAATCAACTATTATATGCTCAGCTGAGTATTGGAAAGCCGCATGTGGGGTCACCAAGCTTACGTTACCAGCACATGATGCAAGTGAGCCTCAGACATTCTAATCTTGATTACAGATCATGGGAATCGAAGGCGGTTGATCGGCGTGTATAGTGCGATCTGATCACGAAGGTAGTTACCGAAGTGCGAGAGTAAGATCTGATGCACGCAGAGAAGATGCGGCAAGTGCAGAAGCGGCAAGCACCGATGGCTTTTACTCCAGCGACATCGAGCGCATGGTGCTGGAGCACATGCGGTCGCGATTGCCTGAGTCAGGCAAGCTTGGGAATCCATGAGAGAGACCACTCGGGATCACCACAGAGACGATGACGGGTCCTACAGAGAACGTGGACAGAACCGGCGCAGCGTCTGTAGGTACGCTACATTCGCTTAACTAATCGTGTGCTTGCATGCTTAGGTCCGTTGTTTCAGGTGGTTGGTGTTCAAGTTTGTCTTAATGAGTTTCTTTCTCATGTTGTTGTCTACCTGTACTATCTTCTGTAAGCTTGCACATGTTGCTGAGACTGATTGTATTTAGATAACATTTTCGTGTTCGTGACATTTTCTTAAAACATGTGTTCTGACCCTTTGGACTTATCGGGAATTAGTTCGCAGTCATTTTTATACACTCTTTTAATGAAGAGTTATCTCCTCGTATCTGTATGCATTATTGGATTTAGTTTATTTCATCTTGTCCTTTCAAGTAATTGCTTTAGCTTGATAACCCGGTGTGACTGCACTTGATGTGTAGGTTGTTAAGGTGCCTACCTGCCTATTACCCACTACCTCTTACATATTTTCTCTAGGAGATAGTTGATTGTTGCTGGAAGGGACGGTGTGCACGGTCCTTGTGGCCGTGTTAGGATCAATGAGTGGTTCCATGCACTCACTGTGGAGGGAACCACGGTCTAGCCACCGCCTTGTGTGCGATTGATTCCCAAATACGGCGTGTTTGTGTTTGTCTGTGAAGGAGTGTGGGCCGGCTCCGTTGATGAAACGTGGCTCCCATCCACATGCATCCCGGTCTTATTCCTTCGGGTTTACACTGGATATGGGTGTGTGGCTGGAGCTGTGGGTGGTGTAGCGCAAGCCACCCATGTCCCTCCGTAGGCGCAGGCGTCCTGTGGCTGGCCACAGTGACAGGCAAATCCGAAACTGGATGCCGCCAACCATATTTCCCCGTATTTCGAAGATGTCGGAATATTTATCTTGCATATTATAGGAGTAGTACATTATTAACAGCTAGCCATAGAGTAACAACACCCGCAACTCTACGCCCGGCTCCATATTTTTTGTTTCGTGACTCCCAAATGTCAACCATTGCTACTTTACAGGCGTGGTATAGAGTATACTACTTTCCTTGGGAATTTGGTACATCAATATGAGGTCTCTCTGCCGATGCCAATCTTGTCCGTTATATAACCTTATGGCAGTCAATCTAAGTTAGTAGAGAAGATCTAACTACTCTTAATATTTGTAGCAGATTGCTGTACGGTCATCGGTGACCACTGACCTTACATGCAAAGAGAGACTACGTATTTAAATAAACAAATCAATAAACGGTATATTTCTCGATATGAGATACACAGGCAAAATACCAGCTTGATGAATTGATACAACGAATTTGGATAATGGGGGATTTTCAACATCTGCTGTGTTCTCAATAAAGTGTTTGAGGTTCTCAGTCAGTTAAAAGTACTACAAGATGGAGAAGTTTTGTGTAGGAATAAGATGAATATAACCGTCAGTACAACTGAAGTAATACGACCGTAAACAAGCGGTCGCCTGCAAATGTTATCCCTTACAGATATATAAAATCTCAACACGCCCAACTGCTTCCCATGTTGTTGTAGTAAAGTAGTAGTGAAAGTAGTAGTAGAAGGTTTAGTAGTAGAAGGTTTACTACTACTGCTGGTGTTTCTGAACACTCCAATAGGCTACAAGCCTAGTATTACTAAACTGGAACACTTTGTGCGCTAAACAAATTTAGGTCCTAGAAACATCCGTTTGACTCTTTGCGTGGTTGCCTCTTGTCAATGTGATCAAGGAAGAGTGGTTACGGTGCCATCGTTTGTTTAGTTCTAGGAAGTACTGACTAACTAACCTGTGAAATCGACACTGCGCTGTGATGATTCATTTGAAATTTCAATTGACGGGATGATTAAAGCTGCTTACCTGAACGGATTTAATCGCCATATTGGTGTACCAGTGGATAGTGTCCCCAGGTACATCTCGTTTGCGAATGCCACACTCCGTTGGATGCTAAGTTGTGACAGATATACTGAATGTGGCAAATCTATGACGAAGTCACTACCCTTCTAGATGTTGCTCATACATTCGAAATAGTCACAGGATTAAGTCAACTGATATTCAAACGCATTCATGATTCTTCAGTGTACTTTAAAATGCTGACACATCAGTCCGAATACCCAATTGTGTGATTGCTTTTTATGATCATTTTTTCCTAATACTTTAGACTCAACTGCGAACATGTCGTTTGCTGCAGTTTTGTGTTTTTAGTTGCAAAATCTAAGTTAACCAGAAAGGGGTTAGTTAGTAATCAAAGAGCATGATAGGTGGGTTTGAAAGTTTCGTTAAAATATGTTCTCAGGTTATAGGACATGGAACAGAACAACCAACCAAATTAGGTGATAAATGAGCTTCTTTATTGTTTCTCGGCTCAGGAAATTGCATCTCAGGGACCTTGTCCAGCATTTAAGCTATTATAAATGACCTAGACGGTATACGTCGTTTTGCAGTTAATTATAATATAAGTATGATCGTTATTATAAGTTACTTGCTTTACACGCCTCCGAAAGTCACTTTGGCTTGCTACGAGTAGAAAATATGTGACAGTAATTGATTGTAATTGCAACTATTGTGCAAAAAAGATATAATAATCTGCAATGTAACGCTCCCCACGAGAAATGCAAATCGCGAGATTCGCGTTTAATTTTACATGCCATAAGACAGAAACCATCCATTTTACAACGGCCAAATACATCGATACTGCAGCGCAAGCGGTGTTTCATAAAAACCAACCTTAATAGGTTTACTAACTTCTGCTTTCATTTGATGCTACGGATAGGTACAAATGTCGTCTTTTTGGAGAATCCTAAATCCAACTATACAACTGATTGGTCAAGCGGGCTGCAAATTCCAAACCAATCAGCTTACTGCAGCATGCGGGCGACAGAATGGTGGCAGCAAATTTAATTGACACCGTACTTCAAATCTTCTGTCCATACGAAGTCATCGTTTTATCGTTGTTGTCTACATATCAACATATGTATTATCGCTAGTAGAAACATATATTTGTTCAAGACCTTCCAAACGAACTTTAAATACCGGTGAGTGACCATGCTTCAGTTTTCATAAATCTGCGAAACAACGGTTTATACTTTCTCCTTTCTCGCACCAAACAACCTAAAGTAACAAGAGCTCCGATAAATGCACCAGTGTATTTGAGCGGTAACCAGTGCAAAATAGTAATTGTTAGCCGACTGCTGGTTTTAATGCATCGTTGCTGACCCAGTATTCAGTGGTTCTTGCTAGCATATGCCGAAATCTGTTCCCAGAAATGGATAGAAGGATGCAGTTGCAGAGCTAGAGGATTTCGGAACTATGTGATCACAAGCAAGCAAATAGAAGACACTTTGTGTACACGAATGAGGCATATTTAGCAAGCGCATTTTGGAAAATAACGTGGTCAGCCTACTACTAGTCTTAATTGTTCTTTTCAACAGTACTCACTCGTATGCGCAGTTTCCTAGGTAACAGCAAATGGATTGTAGGTAGTTATTTTTACTACTGTAACCAAGATTAAAGACAAGAAAGAAAATTTGGTTGTTAAGCTGAAAGTTAAGATTTCAAACAACCACCTTTAAGTCATTTTAGACAAATGATATCTATGAGACTGGCATTCATAGCTAACGCAATCGATAAAGGTAGAAAAGTATTTTTGCTTTTAATAAACAGCAGGTCTCCGGTTTAAGAGAAACAAGTAGGACGCTAGCTGGACGATTGTCGTTTAGGTTCACTTCATCAAAAGATTCAAACGTAATGCAGTCTCATCCATTTACTTTCCAGTAAGGATAATCCCATTGATAGTCATGAGCTTCCTGAGAACATGGAGTTGCTCTAGGCAGAAAGTAGGCAGTTGAATTACGAACAAACCTATACAACTTTTCTAATTGTTATCCAGAAGCTAAGGATTACTCAAGTTGCATAGATTAACTTTTCACAGAATAGACTTTTTCCATATACTTTTACCTTTCAACATTAACAGCCAAATGCGTAACAGCTATTTGACCTAGCCGGACTGTAAATACCATTAGCGAAATTCACACCTTTCAAGCGAGAATGAAAACAGGTTTTTTCCAATGATCCCAGTAATTTTTTTACTGGTACTTTTGTTCACGATCGATGTCCAAGGTTATATGCAAATTTCACATACGGCTTCCATTTAGCAAGTGTCTCTTCAAACACCTCAAGCTTTCGATTTTATTGCTAAAACATATCGCAGTCTCCTTGAAAACCCATTTGTTAACTCGCCTTTTCGATTGCCAATAAATTTCTAGGGCTTTAATTAGTGGGAGAATAGGTTACCTTAATTATCATTAAGTATTGTCGTTTTTGCTTTGAGTGATCTGTAGCTGAATTGGGAGTAACGGAACAGGTAGAACCTAGGCGACTGAAGCCGTGGATTGCCAAAGGCATAGTTAAAAGTTGGGGTGAAAATTAATGCTCTAATCTAGTGACAATTGCTTCTTGATGTTTGCGGTAACTTTTTAGACGTTAAGAAAGGAAATGAAATCTGTGCTTCGCGAAACTGGTTGAAAAATTCAATGAGACCATCTTTATTGATTTTAGTTTTGTCTTTTTGCATTAGAACGCCACCACCTTTCAGCTTTTGTTAAAAAATGGGTACTAAAATGTTGTTCACGGCTTCAAATGAAATTTCCTGCAATATCTGCTGTCATGTGTTACCGAGGTAGTAGTCAAACTTATAATTAATAAGCTGAAAGTGCTTTTTGAATGACGGACTTCGGAAGCCATAATGGAAAGATACTCTGTTCCGGCTCGAGAAAGTAATTTGCCCCTAACTAGCGATTTGGAGTGTGGATACGCACGGAGCTTTCGTAGCTTCTTATTCATGCTTTCTGACAGTGTCAAAGCGGCGACCTTTATCGCAAGCTTACTGAAGCACGGCGGTGTCCTACGCTGGCGGAAGAAATACTCCAGGCTGGGACAATTTTGCTGTAGTTCGCTACCGACTATTTATCTTGTAATATGATTGTAAATTTGTGATGGGTCAAACGTTCCTAAACTTGTATGAGCAGAGGATGTGTATTTTTTCTCTAATGCAACGTTTCGCGGTTGATTAGAATGTTGTTTCAGGCTAGGCAGTTCTATGTTTGCTCGTACTGGCCAGCGACAAATTATGACTGCATGCTTGGCAAACTTTCAGTCTTTAGCTAATGAGTAAATTATATATCCTTATCATCGTTTATGCTAAACCGTGATTACCGCACTACAAAATTATGGTGGCTTGTTTATTCAATCATGTTAATTATTAATAACGTACTTCAAATAGTCGTTTAATCCGATGTTGACCCGCACTGACGTTCAAATATAAGAACACCAACAGCTCCATATTGACACAAATCAGAACGCCGTTCCAGGTATAGGGGTGGTAATAACATATAAAACAAGTTCAACTTTGTATTTAAAAGCTTAAGCATTTTAACTAATGTCAACAGTAATGGTGCCCATTTAAGAGCTCATATCAGTTTCTGAGTGTATCAACAAGTCGGCTTCTTAATATGCAATATTTTGGATTTAACTAGAAGGTGACACTAACAACATCACTCCTATGCTGTTTGTAATTATTTTAACATCGAGCAAATTGACGGCATTTTTATAAAAATAGTTAAAACGCACTAATTCCTTACAACCACTTTTAAGTCCATGTGGCCATATTCGCGGGAGTCTTCAAAGTTCTCAGCAAAATTGTTGGTGGGTTTGGCATGAAAATTACAAATATTGCAACCTAAATCCAAATATCTATCATGATATCACTAACTTTAGGGACAGAAACCAGAGATTTACCAGGATTCACGGAGCTTTATTTGTGCACTAAGCATTTCGCTACAATTCGAAATCGAGTCCAGTGAACAATATCTTGCTGTGATTTTCTCACACACTTTTTGGAATTTCTATATATAACAGAGAAAACCTGCCCGAGCATACACATCTGTGACAACTATAAGGACTTTACGCACCTGCAGCTCAAGGACACGAGGTCGTTTTGCAAAAAACAAACGGGAAAAGACGACAGAAATAAATTTCTTTTATCCCGCTTGGTACAGCCAAATATTTAGTTAGGTCTATGGCGTTGTAACCAAACTGTGGAATGCTGTAAACATTGTAGATCCATGTTATTTGTGTGAATTTGATCGGTACACCATGTCTAGAAACTCTGAAACTCAAAATGCCAAATGTTCTGTGGTAAACGCTTGATGTATCGGATTCGTTTGCTTAAAAGTTTTATGCAATTGGTGTTGAGGCAATGTTTTTATTACTACTGAGAATGTTCTGACATAGACATAAATTACCGCTGTGCTTAAATTTCAGCACACCCATTTATTTTAAGTCTGGTAGGATTGTTGTGTCAAAACGTGCGTTAAACTGTGGAATATGTTCATGTGAATGAGGTTACTAAACTTCGGTTCCTCTGAAATGACGCCTTTGTGTTATTATCAAAACTTATCCAATTAATCCGGATTTTTAATACCACACATACTTTACACTTGTACAGACTGTAAGTCTCAGTCTAAGCTGGTGTTCCAGATGACGAGCGTAAGCCAAATCAGAGCATGATGTTTTCCCTCTGCGATTAATCGTGTACGAAAGCACTTTAAATACTATGTTATTGTTTCACTTGGGTTCAGATATCAGGAACTCTTGGACGCGCATGGATGTCATATTAAGATATCAGCCGGCCTAATATTTTGCTGTGTGCTTGGGAGAATCTAAACGACAAACCGCTTTCATAAAAAAGACCGGCTAAAGAGAAGTCTGGATACCATGAAAGTAATTGATAGCTGAAGCACTCGAAAAGATTTAGTTTTGTTACACCTTGGTCTGAAATTTTTTTCGGTGCAGTGGTAAGGAGAGTTGGACGGTATAAGTAGAAATTCATCACATTTATAATAATTCAGACAAGCACCACAAGCACGGGAAGCATTGTACAGCCGTTTCATCATTCTGAGAATCGTCGCTATTGCACATTCCATTGGAAGCTTGTAGGGCCTGAAACCACAAATCTAGTTGGCTATCCTCTTCAATACACAGAACTATCGTGTCAGTCAGGGGATAGTGAGTGGCGCTAAGTAACTGCGGTATTTGCCGTCTCCGTATCTCAGTTATTTTAACCACAAACTTGCAACAACCAAGTCGCGGGTTCAGGCACTACAGGATTCAGATTGAATGCACACTGATAACGATTTCCGATAGGACAAAACGGACATATATTATTTTTTCAGGCCTCTGGTATGTCTGACTAAGTCCAAATTTCCTGAATTTCTAACTTTTATTTGTTTTCATAAACCAAAGGTGGATAACTTACATTTACGGAAAATGTACATAGAATAATTGCGATTAGCCGAAATCATATGTCACTGACCGTTCTTTCTTTTAGAAAAATGATTAACTTTGTACGTTATTGATGATCTACCTGACATTATTGTAACTGTAAACTTGCGACCTCTTAAAAGTAAAGTTATCATAAGCAAATGCGCCGTTTTCACTGCTGAATTTTTTAACTAACTTTTATTCGTTAGTGAGATTAAATTAGATTTTCGTACAGACGGTTACACATTACTGGGTTGTACAACTGCCGGGTCACTTGAATTAGCCTCACCGGTAATTAAATATTTATTTTCCTAGTTTCGGTAGACAAGTATAATTGAGTAGCACAGGCAGTGCAGTAGGATTTTGCTGAAAATCCCTACCCTCTACCGATGACTGCGTGTGTGCTTTGCATGTATAATAATTCAAGTAGATTCAAGGGTATAAAGATAGCTAGATGGCCGGACTGAGAAGTTATGTTGAGTGTTTTGTAGCTGCTCTATCCCAACAATGACCTCCATGACCGACCGATTTCATCCAGATTTTCACTGGTCAGATAGGGATGGCTTCAACTGTGAGGGAGCCAAACCCGGTGACTGACGGCTTTCTTCTTGGTCACTAGGCCAGAGCTACACAGCAGCGCCTGACACAGCAGTTAGGAGTTCATTAATGGGTCTTGGAGTTCCCGCCCTATGACATGTGGTTTGGGTAAAATAGA